ATTGAATCATGCCACAAGGTCAGACACATGCCGACATATGTCTGCTCAGCCCACAGTCTTATCAGCGCAAGTATTTTCTGCATGAAACTGCTATAGTGGATTGGTGTAAATGGCTATATAATATCCACATGCTCTGGTCAAAGGCACATTGAGGACATCTGTGAACAGCTTAGCGATTGAGACTCTCCAGTTCTCACCTGACACTGCTGTAAGCTGCCGACCGTCCATTAACAGAGCTCTTCCTGTCCAGATGTTACGCATGTGCGTGCCAAGCCCTCCCTGCGTGTGACAGACGCACACGGAGTGGAAAACTTTCACATTAATTTTCTTTTTCTGTGTTTCTGCTAAGAGCTTCCAGTGAAAGGCATTAGCGCGGAATTGGGCCGCAGAAACACGTTAGCGACCTTTCCATCTGTGAGATTCTAGCTGTGGGTTTTGTAATGGGCCATAAGTTTGAAATAGGCACGGCTGACCGGGTGCGACACGAGCATCTCTCCATCTTTACGATCCCAAAGAGAGCTTTGAAGTAATTCCTTACTTTTCTTAGGTGCTTTCTATCATCTATACTGTGTCCTAACCTGGCTCAATGTGAACAGGTTTTGCTGTAGTTGTGTCTGTGTGATTTAAAGACAAATGTTATGTTCAATAATGGATATGCAGATCTTCTTCAACTTTAATGATTAAGCAATAAATAATATTGAAAACGTAATCTGCATTGTGTATATCAATAAAAAATGTATTAATAATTTAAGAATTGTTTTTTATTATTATTCATTAAACCATTTATAATTATGCAAAATATCTGTTAAAATCAAATCTCGATCTTTCTGTAGTTTCTAGGTCTTGAATATATTCGGAATGTTGTATATTGTATATTTTCGGAATGTTTTCGGACTTTGCAATTAGTGGTGTGCATAAATAGAAGTAATCGCTAATTAAAGCATATTACTATTGTATAGGATTGCAATTTTTTTTTTTAGAAGTTGTGGCATTATTTTTTAAGGTTCCACTAACAAATAATTTGCAAGGATTCAATGATTAAACTATCAATTAAATACAGTTATCCCAGCCTGCAAAGACAGAGGGTTTCTGATTGGCTAAAATGTTTACAAACCCTAGTTCCTTCGCTTCCAAAATGTGATGCAATTTCTGGAAACGGAGCATAGTGAGTGTCGATGCTCTCTGATTTGTGCGGTGCATTGTGGGATTTTTCAAGGAGTGAACGTTCCAGTGCACTGGAAGGATTGTGAGATTGAGAAATCCCTTAAAATGACCAACTCCCTGATCAGGGCCATGACTACTGAACTAGGGAGATGATTGAGATGCTCCCATAGAGACAGGTGTAATTTCATATTCATCTCTATTTTTCTACTTCCATCTCTATCTTCTATCTTCTCCCTCTCTCTGGTCTCTAAATGAACAGTGGTTTTTAGTTATTGTTGCTATTTTTATTCAACTCCCACAACAACCTGGCATAGAACTCAATATCTGGGTAAAGCTGGTAATTAAGCCCAAACTGTTATAGAAGCTAAGGGTGCCAAAGCATTAACATTTACCTTCTGTGGCTCTTAAATATGGCCTGCAGTGTATTCATCAGCACCTGCCCACACAGAGGTCACCCATACAAGCTCTTTGCCAAGGGCCACAAACCATTATACTCGAGACATGTGTTTTGTGCTGATTCCTGGTTCACTGTTGAACCACAGACTTGCCTCTATTGGATATTAGCATCTCTCAACAGAGTAGATATTTTTTCTCACCGTTTTCTGTTTTTTTTTTCACACTTCACTCTGATTCGTTCTCTTTTTTGAGATGAGTTTTTCCTGTGTACATACAGTAAGTGCAGTGCATTGCAAAAAACTAGATCGTTCACATTATAATCAGCGAAGCTGTCTAGACTGGGAGCACCAATTCTGTCGCATCGTGTCACAACGCAAAGTGCCTTCCGTTAATGAATGGACTCTAGCTACTCTACATAGATACTGCAGATATATACTGCTCTGAATTGGAATAAATTCATAAAGTGTGTGTGTGTAATGTGTTTGTATATAAATAAATGGTAACACTTTATTTTAAGGTGCTTGTAATAAGCAGTAATTAACAGTTAATAAGACACTTATAAGACCTTATAAGATGCATATAAGCATTAACTAATGATAATAAATAAATTAAATGAAATAATAAATTTCTCAAGTATCAATACATTGCACTTTTAGAACAGCCGAACAAACATAAATGGTAACACAAACTCCCAGTCCCTTAAAAATTGACCTTCCCAAGAGGTAGTAGTTTCCCTGATCTCTTCAGGGCCTGGAACTTTAATTAACCCTTATATGAAGTAGTTAATGCTTATATGCATCTTATATGCATCTTATAAGGTCTTATAAGTGTCTTATTAACTGTTAATTACTGCTTATTACAACCACCTTAAAATAAAGTGTTACCAAATAAATACATATATAATATTAAATAGTATTATAAATTATTAATAATATAAGATCTATATCTTAATGTAGACATACAGATATTATCAGTTGGTAAATTTTTTTAGATAGATAGATAGATACAGACAGACAGACAGATAGACAGACAGATAGACAGACAGATAGATAGACAGTCAGATAGATAGATAGATAGACAGATAGATAGATAGACAGATAGATAGATAGACAGATAGATAGATAGACAGATAGATAGACAGATCGACAGATAGATAGATAGTAACCTAATATTATATTAATTAATTTATAAAAATATTTCATATTTATATATTATTCATTTCACAGCCTTCTTTATTAGCTTCAGTGTAGGTATTGTATTAAAATAAGTTTAATATAAAGAGCAATGCTCCTTTCTCTTTCTCTTCCACTATTTCTTTTTCTTTCTTTCTTTGCATGCATGTGTCTCCCTGCATTACTGCCTACTTGACTGGAATGACCTGTGGTCACCTGATTAACTTCCTGTTGTCTGACCTCAGAATCTCACCATTGATTGCACATGGCATGCCTGAGCGCACAGCTCTCCATCTTAAAGCTGGAGGAGAAGAACAGTTGGGGGTTGTAGCTGCGAGTGTGTTTCACTTGAACATGAAAATAAGGGTTTCCTCAGCCGACAGTCTCACCTTTGCCCTCAGGCATACAGCTGACATGTAATGGATGTTTTCTGGAAATTGCTACACTACACGTGAAGTATCAGGGTCAAAGCGCTCTTTATTTTTGCTGTATGGTATCGATATCCATTTTCCAGAAAGACCTTCAGAAAATGTCTAAGAAATGTTTGCTCTTGTCACACAGTAGAACTGCTTCGTAAATTTCAAAAGGACATTTTCATAGTCACTGCGTTCCACTGATCAGTCACGATAATAACGTTTTATAGTTCTTGGCCTACTTTGATCTGTGATCTGCTTCAAGATTAACACATTTATGGCCTTCCTATTATAGCAAGGACGTGTACAGAAGAGTTTAGTAATTCATTCTTTTAAATGTCTAGGTCTAAATTATATGTTGTCTTGATTACATCGTCTGTTTGATTTGAAATGCATCGGCTGTTTCATTTAGGTCATGTGATTCAAAAAAGCGATTCACATCACTATATTTTGTACAGGTTTGTGATAAAGCTTTTTACTAAAAAGTCATATCTAATTTGATATCTTTTTATACCTAAAGGCAGGCAGTTTTACAAAAACATTCCTGTACAGAAGGTCATTCCCTGGAGTATGCAATTTAAAGAAATAAATTGAAGTTATCTTTAAAGATTTTAAAGCTATGAAGCTATAACGCTTACTATTACTATTGCCACTGGGGAAAAGCAGAGGACCCTGGCTGGTTGATTAGTTGATCGCTAAACCAACAGATGTGATGTGAACAGCCACGAACTGAGCATCACAGTCGGTTTACTTCCTCCAAACCCCAGGGCACGGACCGCACCACATATCTGGAAATCCTGCCTGCGTATACAGGTCACCAAAATCACTGCAGCTTCGGTTTTTTTTTCTCACTGGCCTCATTTCCACCGCAAAGTAGAGCAAAGCTCAAGCTTAAGTAATAGCTAGGAGTTAGAGAAATAGATTCACAACATTGAAAGAAAGTGATTAACATCAGGGATTTCCACTTACAGTTTTTCTTTCTCTGAACACAATAGATTCCTGAGAAAGTGTTAAGGAATGGAGGAGAGCTGAATGGCCCGAGAGGCAGGGGAAGTTGGAGGAAGTTTATCTGCAGGGATTATAGTGTGCAGCTGCCCACAGAGATTACTGAGACAGTGTCAGGAGGATTACTGGACAGGGACCGAAACATGCTCGATGTGTGCAGCCTTTATATTCACATACGTGTCTGGGTCATTTCACTCTCAAATGAAAAGGGAAATAATTTTTTTTTTTTTTACACATCTATTCTCTCACACATGTAAACACCTGTACGTGAGCACAGCGATGGATATTTCATCCTCAGCGTGCTCTCGAAAGTGCAGCAGCTGACTCAAATGGTATCTTTATGCTCCTTTATCCTCTATCATCCAGCCCAGGAACCCTGCAGCCGTGGCATTAGTGCAGACTGACCAGAAATGCAGTTTTTGCTATTTTCAGATTAAAAAGATCACCGTTTCCCAGAACTCATCATTCTCCTTTTGCAGCTATCCATTACACCGGCCATTTAATTGTAGAGCTCAAGAGGTCGCGGCTCGTGGGGAGGCTTTATGTAATTTATTCACTCTTGCAGACCACCAGACACACAATAGGGGTTTTGGCGTCTGCTTCCGCTGACATACAAATCCCCTCCTAGCTGCTCATGCCCCCCTAGGCCGACTTTCTTCCTCCCATCCATGTTGGTTGTGTAAGACCCGTGGGCACGAGGTATGCGAGTCGGGTGTCTTCGTAAAGGCAACAGATGGGCACAGGAGGTCAGTACGTAGCTCTGTGCCCGCTCCACAAGTGGGGAAGCTTGGCTTGAGTGTACCGAGGGGAGGAGTCAGAGCTCAGCGAGAAGAGAACATTCAGCCACCCGTGTAGCCCACACAAGCGCTCCAGACATCCACACTCGCACACGTTCCCCCTTCTCTACCTTGGTGGTTTTAGGATGTAAACTCTCCTCACCTGGTGTTCAAAAAGCTCTGTGTGGGGTGATGTTGAATTCAGAAGGTGAGTCATCGCCAGTCCTTGTTTGGATTAAACACTTTCCACGCTTCTAACCCTCATCCTTTTGCTCTCCCGCAGGTATGAAGACCCCCTTGAGCCCCACCCAGCTCATAGAAAATGGACAGCTGTGCTTCGCCATCGCAGGCTGCATGGAGGTAAAGGAGCCTAGCATTATCAACGCGGACATGCATCTCCATCAGGAGAAGAAGAAGCTGCTCTACTCGCTTTGTGAAGTCTGCAACATCCAGCTGCACTCCGCCACGCAGGCCCAGGTCCACTACAATGGCAAATCTCACCTCAAGAGGGTCAAACAATTGAATAAAGGAGAGCTGCCCACGGCAAGCGTCAGCTCGGCTTCCACTCCTCTACACTCTCTCAGCAGCAGTGGCAGTCAAGGTAAGACCTCCTTAACCCAGGGGAGTGAATCCTCCGATGCTTTCCTCCATGCAGGGGTAAACAGCTCTGATGTTAATGCGCCCTGAGTTAGCATTTGACTCAGAGGGCCTAGCTTGTCATTTCTTGTGGCATTTCTCTTTTAAAGAGGTGTTTTTATTAAAGCCATATAGTTCACCCAGAAATGAATATTCTGTCGCCATTTACTCCTCTTCATGTAATTTCCAAACCTGTATGACTTTATTTATTTTGTCAAACACAAAATAAGCCAATTTTGGGTCTGTCAAGCTAAAAAAAATTACAAAAAGATTTCATAAAAGTACCTCAAAACAGTCTATAATGACATATATTTCCAGACTTCTGAAGTCATACATTTCGTTCTGTTCCTTACACAGAGGAATCATAAGTCATTATTCACTGAAAATGAACAACCAATTTTGAGTCGGATCTTTTAAATGAATCAGTTGATCCAGTTCACAGAGCAATCTGGTGTGTGTTTCCCATAAAATAGCATAACTCGTTGGCATAACTATCATAGTACGGTGCATTGCATTGGATAAATCAACTAGCAAGTCACAAATGTTTCCCGCAATAACTTTGTCGCACGTGCCATGTTGGTTCAACAATATAGAATTGTTGATAATGATGTCATACAGCTGCTGGATTAAAAGCTTCTGCAAATAAATTAGTTTGACATCAAATTAAAGTCATATTATTGCTGTAAATCATGAACATGGCATTATTTTGCTCAAAAGCAAAATCTATTTAAGTCATACTAACAAGAAACTATGCTTGTAAACACGAAAGTCGAGAGCTGTAGTTTGCGATGCTGTTTGCTTCTAGAAGCACAGAATCATTGAACTATGTTGATAATGACGGAACTTTTTTACCATAGTTGGCTAATGATGCTAACGATCGAATCAAACTGATTTGAATTTCGAATTTACTGACTCACATGTTTACATGTTTATCAATGAATAATGACTAGTTTTTGGTCAGTTGATCACACAAAAGTATTGAATGACTTCAGAAGACTCGCGTGGCAAGCAGGGCGGGGCTGAGAGCTGTGGGAACGGAGCGGGGCGGAGGTGTGAGTGCTAATGAGTGTCACCTGCACACCACACTGATCTCGAGCCTCACAGAGGAGATCCTCATGGCTCTCGGCCACGCCCTGCTTGCCACAACTCGCAACATAGCTCTCAAGTCATGATTTCGGTAAACTTTTATTATGCTTTTTTGTAATTTTGTGGGCCCAGTCCTTTTTCACTATGTTGAAAATAGTGGCCAGGATACTGTTTTTATTTTACAAAAAAAGTCCATACAGGTTTGGAACAACAAGAAATGATGATGATGACAACCTTTAATTTCTGAGTGAACTATAACTACAATTTATTTCCAAATCCAAGCTACCATTTAGTAAAGCAAGAAGCACACTTAGAAACCTCAGGTTCAGTGTCTTGCTCAGGGGCACACCGGTGACACGGTCGTCTTTTGTGGGGCTTGAACCGGCAACCTTCCACTTTAATGTCCTGAACTTTAGACACTACAGAGACCACTTACACCACTTAGTTGATTTTGCTCATAAAACAACACAATTCATCTATTTGTCAAACAGTTGTACAAATACTTTTAACTGAACTTATATACATTCTAAAACTGAAAAATATTGGGTGTTACCTCCAAAAAACATCATATTCAAATATATTTTATATACAAAAATTATACACAACAAACACACGCGCACACAAAAACACTCAGCTAGAGAACATTTTAAATAATTCTTGCAGTCATTGGGGATTTTTTGTCCCGGAGCAGTCCTGAGGCTTGTGCATCATTTTTGTATCCTCTTGGGAGTCTCTGACAAATAATGGCAATTCAATTTTTTTTTTCTGAAGTATGCTTTTCACATGGACTTTCAAGGATAATGTGTGTCTTTAACAGGCCTGTGGTGGTGCTGGCATGTGTAACTGGTGCGAATGGCAGCAACTGCACTTGACCAGTAAGTGACAGTTTATCAGTGTGTTCACAGTCTGGTTGGTGGGTGGAACTGTTGAGACTGAAAAAAGAAAAAGAACCTGTATTAATGGCTCATTCAGGTTATGAATAGGATTCAGATGCATACCAGGCTACCTCTTCATATTTAAACAAACACTCTTTTGTTTTGCATGTTACCTGGGAAACATTTTGGGTTGCATTGATGCAAGATGGGCAGAGGATCTGTGAGAAGTTGGTGCTGGACTGGCAGGCGAGACTGTGGCTTCCAGTGCAGTGTCAGAGCGGTGGTGACCAAACTTTCATTAGATTGGTGGAAAAGTAGCATACAGGCTACAGACATTAGACAGACCTTGTTGGACTCCATAGGAAAACTTTTGCCTCTTTTGAAGTGGCGGCCAAAGCAAAATGGAATTTTTTATTCAGTTTGAAGAGCTTATTGCACTATTAGAAGGTCTACTATGTCATAGCGAATTTCATGACTTTATGAATGCTGGTAAAATAATCTGTGTGCTTTTGCTTATGAAAAATCACTGATATGATTTTTTTTTCCCACCATGACGTTACTCTACTATTAAACGTAAGAGATGTATGCCATAATTCTTGGCCACGTACACAATAGACAGTGAAAACTTGGGGGAGTGAAAAGTTCTTTTAAATCCCCTAAATTATCATACTGTTTGTGATGGTTGATGAATTGATAATCTAAAATAAATTAGAAACATGAATGTCTGTTTGATGTTAGCTATACGTTTTTTGAGACTGGAAGGGATGGGATCTCGCCACATGATATTTTCTATCATGATATTATAATTTCTGAGCCACAATGTAATATTATCGTGATTGTTTATATGTACACTACGCAAAAGATAGTTATATTTTATAAATATAATATCTTAGCAAGGATGTGTTAATTGATCAAATGTTAATAATGTTGTTATTTTAAATAAATGCTGTTCTTATGAACTTTTGATTCATCAAAGAAGTTTCCACAAAAATATTAAGCAGCAACTGTTTCAACATTGATAATAAGAAATGTATGTTTAGCAGCAAATCAGCATATTAAAATGATTTCTGAAGGATCATGTGACACTGAAGACTGGAGTAATGATGCTGAAAATGTAGCTTTGATCACAGGAATAAATTACATTTGAAAATATATTAAAATAGAAAATGGTTTTTTTAAACTGCAATAATATTTTACAATATTAATGTTTTTACTGTATCTTTGATTAATGCAGCCTTGGTGAGCATAAAAGACCGTAACCAACCCTAAACTTTTGAATGGTAGTGTATTTATGCAAAACATATTGCAATCAAACTGGAACAATTACGTTTCCGTTGACTTAATGCTACAGTTTGTTTCACCTTTTCACAGATTTTTCGCACAATGCTCAATTTTTCATATGAATATTTTTTTGGGGGGAAAGCATATTAAAGCAACACCAAGTAACTTTCCCTCTGCGGTCGCCCTACAGGTTGGAAGCGGAATTGTCCATTACCGCTGTGGTAAATAATTTAGCCTACCGCAGCCTACTGTCGCACGCACGCTCGTTGTTTATCCAGCACCGGCTTTGGAATGAACGATGTCCACAGACAAGGTAGAGTATGTTGCATGATTTCATGAAAGTATGATGAATTGCGACATTAGAAACGAAGAAAAACAAAATAATCTATTGTAACGCTTGACGTAAAGCAAGTCAAATTTGTTTTCTTATGTCTCAATAGAACTACAGAAACGCGACCCGATCTGGCAATCTTACATAGCGTGGTTATAGCGGATATAGGACCGCAAAGCGAATCCAGAAGTGCCTTTCACCCTGTTACGACTTAATGAACCACTGAAACGATTTTGGAAACATTATTTTAAGGTAAAAAATCTTACTTAGTGTTGCTTTAAGTAAATATTGAATCATTGAATTGAATAATGATCATGATATAGATACACGTATGAGGGTCACGACGTAAAATATCACAATATTCAAAATTGATTCCCCCCTCCTCCAACCCTAATATTAATATTTGTCAACCTTTGGTAAATGAACATATGCAACGTGTTTTCTTTATGCTTTTTGAGCTGCATACACTCTCTCAACTATAATGTATGGGTTGCTGTTGTAGCTGGTGGGAGAACCTATGGTGGAGAGTCAAGACACGCAGCTCTGAAACTTCGATGATGTCCAAAAGAGAGTGAGATCAATGCATTTGCGAGTAGCTGTTCAGTTTAATTCTGTTCATTTAATATGCAGTTGTCAATTTTTCTGAAGTGAATTTGGTTATCAAATGCAATTTCCACTCCTGTAAATAGCCAAAGTCATAAGCAAACTCAGTGTGAACAGAACAAGATTAAGCACTCAGAAGGGATTTTACAAGCATATTTATCAGCAGTGTGAATATGGCCATCACGTTTCTCTGGAAAATGAGGAGATTGTCATGTATAACCTGATGCAAGTGCGTAGTTTGCGTCAGCTAAGACGTTTAGCTGGTGTTAAATACTGTACTTTTAGCCCATTTGTGCGTGTGAATGTAATAGTGATTTATTCAGATTATCTTTTTAAATATATGGGTGTGTGAAAAGCAGAGGTGATGTTTGATCTGCCCCACACAGCTGCGGCTCCTGCAGGGATGTCACGTGTTTTCATCTCTCTCTCTGGGAGCATCTCTAGTGTTCCATGGAGCATCAATAAACAGCAATAAGAGCTGCAGGGGCTGGTGTATTTAAAGCAGTCATCTGTAAACGCCTCAATTGCTATTTAAAATAATAGGTTAGCTAGTACTGTGCCGAAGAACCTTTGTGTTTCAATTTTTTTTCTTTTTATGATATTCAATGTACATTTTGATAATAAAGGGAAATTTTTTTTTTTGCCATAATTTGGACAAAACATTCATTGTCGTGAAGCACATTTAAAATAATTAAAACATTTTCTACATTTTTAAGTTGCACACAGATCATATTGAATGTATTTGGAATATTTGAAAAGAATTTACATGTTGCATAAAGAAAATGAAGC